GATTGATTGATGATCAATTGATTGAATAATCAATCGCTTCAGTATTTTTATTCAAACATAAATACGCTTATCGATTCGTTGCGAAATTATTCGGCTTTCATAATTCAGAGGGCATTATTAATTTATTCATACACCTTATATCTTAACAATTAACAGATTGACACTCCATTTGAAGATATCCCCGAAAACTATAAGCAGGACGAAAGTAAGTGATTGCTTTAAGTCACTGCCACGAATTGAGTGCGTTTGGAAAGTGCGCAAGGGCTGTGCGTAAAAGGAATGCGTAAAGTGGCCACGTAGAGTGAGTGCGCAACGTTTGTGCGTAAAAGGAATGCGTTAAGTGAGTGCGCAACGTTTGTGCGTAAAAGGAGACCGTAAAGTAACCACGTAATGTGAGTGCACAATGGTTGTGCGTAAAAGCAGTACGTAAAGTGAGTGCGTAAACTAAAGTAAGTGCGCTAAGTGATATTCAAACACCCATATTTACTTGCAACAATCTACAGTTACTACTCAAAATGAATGCGCAATGGTTGTGCGTAAAAGTTAGTGCGTAAACTAAAGTAGGTGTGCTGATCGAGTGAATGCAGGAGTGATTTAGTAAGTAAAGTGAATATGCTAAGTGAATACGTAACTTAATTAATTCACATTCTTTGTTAGGTCTGACATCTCGGGTCAACTTCGTTTCTTCGCCGCCCCATGAGCGTGTTGTCACGGCTGAACGATCTGATACAAGCGATTCGCAGGAATACTTAAAGTCTTTCTCTGGTACCACACCGCAGAAACTCTCCAGAATGTCACGAACCCGGGAACGGGAGATACTGGTAACACCACGGGTACGCATCTATCCCAACCCTACTACCCCTAAGTAAAATATTTGTCACGGACACGCGAAATGAATATAAAAAGCTGAAACACTGTCACCAGCGATACGCATTGCGCATGCTCATGGTCTGGATACTTAAGATATGACCCACATGGCTCATCGTATGATTTCTTTCTATTTAAGGACGTGCACAACGCGAGCACTAAAATCCAGAACTTAAACTGGGATATCGAAACACAGGTATGATAAAAATAAAGAAATTCAATGAAAAAGTTTACCTGGATTCCATTCGTTCGGATTTCTCAGGTTCTTTCTTATACAGTACCTAGACTGCGGGAAAAAAATTTAGATTCTTATATGTTTAAACTGTGTAATTTGTGTTTTATAGACGGTTAGGTTAAAGAGAAAGTCAGACAAATACTTGCAGGAAAAGTACCCAGATCAATACCAAATAATAAGACAGCGATATGAAGAAAGAAAACCAAAAAGTCCATTCACAAARCGAGGTAAGGAAAAACAATCTATACTCCATTTTATAGATTCACGCCATCTTGAAAGGTAGCCGAGCCTTTGTATCAAAGCGAGGCAGGAGTTGACCCTGGGGTGATGTGAGATATACCTTTTGTTCATACCTAAGAGAATTATTCACAGGAACACTTTAAATAACATTTTAAAATTTGTTTCTGTTTTTCTACCCAGAGATACTAAATGAAGCTCCAAAGGTATGTAACACAAGACATTACATGTACACAACAGAATTCGCACTTTTTGAGCCATTTTAACCATCAGTTTCCACGTTAATCCTCTTAGATTTCGTCAAAAGAAAGGCCCTTCGAGCTCACAGAAGTCAAATATTCTCCAAGAAAGCGAAACCCTACAAGAGACACAATTTACACRGCSCTCAAATCACGWTTGGAAGAAAAAGACACACTTCTAGACTTCGGAGACGTTTCTGTGCCAYACTCGCCCTTTTCTGAATTCTTATCTAAACAATTACAGCGAAAAAGAGATMAMAAAATGCACCAAWCTTCTCACGATGGACCASGAACTCTGAAGGTGGAGAACCTGGGYACTCTTCCTGGTGAAGAAGACCTCAGAAGCAAAGAACTCCACAGTGATGGAGAAGTACTCGATTTGTTGGAGAAATTCCAAGAAGCCGACTTTGTAGCGACAGGACGCAAGTTTTTTGGCGATAAAGATGGTTCTTGGAAAAATACGACTCTTGTATGAGTGCTTTAAATATCGAAAGCGAATGAACTTTAGTTGGCGGGTCTAAAATAACACTAGGGCCGGTTGTACGAAGGATTGATAATTAAGTTATACAAAGCCCACTGGAAAAAATCGCGCGCTTTAAAGGTTGTAAATTTGATGTAAATATGATGTAAGTGTCCAAAATTCTGTAAATTTTTATGGAAATCATTTACATTAAATTTACAGAATTTTGGACACTTACATCATATTGACATCAAATTTACAACCTTTAATGCGCGCGATTTTTTCCAATTCTGTAGATTTTCGTTGTAAGGATTTTATCGGCTGGATAAGTATTTGTTCTGTGGATAGCGCAATTCAACCTTCGTTCAATCGGCTCCAGAACTGCACTAAACACATCTTTCACGAATATAACTGCGGTCTGGCCAACGCGAAGCATTAAGATATACCAACATGCAAGAAACCTGTAAAATAAACTCCTTCACGGTTCCCTGCGCCATAATGAAAGCTAGTATCCGTACCTATCGAAGCGAGAGGACCATTGCTCGATATTGTGATAATAGAAACCTTCTTTGACACCTACAGGCAATTATTTACTGGTGCCATGATTGCACGCTCAACTTTCTCAGTTAGATGCAAAGGCAGATCTAGCCGGCTTTTGACGAGATGACGCAGGAAAAACCGTGAAGGGATCTATTGTAGACATTCGGATATGTCAGTCATACCAGTGTGCAAAAGAACCCATGTGATCAAGTACAAACGTTAATGTATTTTTGGAAGGTATTTTGTCATTTATTTATCTTCAGGATCATTTGTTGCTGTCTCATTCTTTCTCTACACCTGCGATTGATGAATAAAGATTCAAGAAATTAAACGTGTGTTTTATATAAAACGTAACACGAGAAATTAAACTAAACGTTTGGCAAAAGGACAGATATTTGCAGGGGCGGATCCAGCTGGTAGGTGCAGGGGGTGCTCACCCCCTCCTGAGATCTGTATCCTTCAATACTTTCCTTATTTTGTATCTTCACGGTATAGGGGGGTGTACCCCCTCCTGAGAGCCCCGCACCCCTCCCCTTGAGGAAAATCCTGGATCCGCCCTTAGTTTGCCGCCCTCCAATATGAGCCGAAGCCCTCATCACCACATGACACAGAATCCGGAATCAGACAAAATTTTGGCTCTGGAATTCAGAATCCACCAGACGCTTGGGAATCCTGGAATCCACGGCCGGCAATGTTAAGTCCGATAATACGAAAGTAATCCGACTTGAAAAGGACAAAATGACTTCACATATTTCGCAAGTCACTGACGGTGAAAACATAAGGGTGCTTGGCTTCCATTCTAATGATCCAAAATGGTGGAATCGAGATTCCCTGCGAAATTTTCCATGGATTCCGAAATCGAAGCGCTTCTAAATCCAGGAACGCTGCGAATTCTGTGTCATGAGGCGAACCTTATTACAGTTCAGCTGCCAGAGCAATAATATTACAATGTTTACTTGGTTCATTACCTGATACGTCAGCAACTTTCAACATGAAGAGCATTAGCCTTTCGCAGCTATTTCTATTCACAAACAAACATACATGCATCAAATCATTATCAGACACGTAGAGTCCTTTACGCATATACGCAAGTGCGTACTTGTGGCAAGGAAATATTAACATTTTCGCTATTTGATGCCTTTTAATATGCTCTCGATGCCCCTCAAAACGTTGGAAATCGCATTTATGTCCAGGAGTTATTATTTCAAAATTGCCTGGGGGAGGACCCCTTAATACTCGCGGTCCATGCGTACTAGCCAAAACGTCCACGCTACACGCCTGATTATCTGGGAAATTCGTCAACGGGCGTTCATTGCAGACGTGTTTTTGATTTTTCAATAATGGAAAATAAGCCCAAACATTGGATACCTGTATTCATTCTTCCTCATCTGTACTTATTATACTTACGTTTTACGATACGCAGTATCTGGTTGGTATTTCCTATTTAAGCAATATGAAATCATGTATGAATTGATGAATTGAACAAGACGCTCAATACAACTACTGAGGGGGGGGGACTCCCTAATATAAAAAAGGGCGAAGTCCTCGTCGTCCCTTTGGGTTTGAAATCAGTGTCTTGGTCCCGCTTAGGGTGATAATGACGAGTATTCCGACCAACTGAGTTTTGTTGTCCCTATACTATTAGCGTTTGCTGCTCAAAAACACAAATAAAGGCTCTCAATGGGGTTAACCGTGAGCCGTGAAACTTCTGAAAAATTAGCCGTGAGTCGTGAAAATGCGAAAAAATTAGCCGTGAGGCGTGAATATTTTTTTATAGCGCGAGCCGTGATTCAGTTTTGTCCCTCAGGACAGTCAAGAACTCCAGACGCGCGCTTGTATTATTATTATTTTTTTTTGGCAAATTTAATCACAGTAAAATGTAAATCCAGTCTAATCAAAGATACTTTACTGTATTTAGGTGCAGATAGTCTTCCTTTTTGACCAAATTCATTTGACAATTTAAAGCTTCTTCGCTGCTCGGCATAGTATACATCGACTTGGCACTTAGATTTTTCACGTCTCTCTGGACAGGCTCCCGGACACGGAATGTCACGGAAAACTTATATGTCCGGGAGTCAAAAATCACAGTAAAATGTAAATACAGTCTAATCAAAGATACTTTACTGTATTTAGGTGTAGATAGTCTTCCTTTTGACCAAATTYAGTTGACAATTTAAAGCTTCTTCGCCGCTCGGCATAGTATACAATCGACTTGGCACTTAGATTTTTCACGTCTCTGGACGAACTCCCGGGAGTCAAAATAATTTTTAATTTGATTAGACGATTTATACGGATTATCATTCATTCTCTTCAATTATTAGTATTCACTAGTTTATATTCAATAATTATTTGATAATCAACATTAATACATTTGTAAACTTTATCGAAATGTGGAACGTTCGAGTGTAATGTTGGAGTTTGTGTTTAGTTGAATCCCGGCAAATCTTTGGCAACAGCTAGTATCGGTCTATCGGAATTTCAAGAGATTTTTGTCGTGTTTTTTATCCGAATACTAGTAATGCCTGTCTGATATAAGAACCGTAAAACTAATTTAAAATGTGATGATTTGGACAATAATAACGACAATTGAACAGCTTGGTGAAAGCCGTCACATTACACCGAACATCGGTATTCGGCCGCAAACTACCACTCAGCACCCACCCCACCCCACCCCCGTCAAATAATAAATCCACTGAAGAATGATTATGCAAAGCCTGTATCGCTTGCTAATTCCTGAGCTGAGCTCTGATTGGCTCGCTACTCCCTCTGGATTTTGGTGACGTCATATATTAGCATAGAACTTCACCGAATAGACTACCCCAATCAGATATTAGATATCTATAAGTGTCCTCATAGTACTATGGTCTAAGAGGGTAGCTAAAGGTATGCTCTAGTGGGCGGCTACCCCCTCACTCCCTGGCCTTTTGGTTAAGACTAAGTTTTATGTTCACTCGGGATAGCGTGGAAGAGCCGAAATCTCTAACCGTAACGTAAGACGATTCGCCGCCTCAGCTTCATAGAATGTCTCGGGGGAATCGTCCCATCTTTTTAGATTTTTATTTTTATTATTTCTTATGTATTCCGGGGGGGTGCATCTTCTCCTGAAGTGAAAGTCCTGAGTTCGAGTCCTGCTGCTGGAATTTCTCTTTTTTGCTTGTGAATTGTTTCTTTTGCGTTTGTTTCTAGTTTTCTTTTATTCTTTCTTTTTTTTGCTCTTTTTCATTTAGTCTTTTTCTTTGCTGTTTTCACTTCGTTTTCTTTTTTTCTAGTGATTTTCTCTTTTCAGCTTAAAGGACTCGCAAGGAACGCCTGCTACAAGTGGATTTAAGGTTCCGTAACTCAACATCATGACATAGTAACGAGAGGACCCACAATGCCTTTCGTCACAAAAATGATAAAAAATGACTTTTTAGATGTCAAGATCACGTTCATTTATTCGAGGAAGCATTTATCAAGGTCATGAACATTTTAATGACGTTTCAAGGGGAAGACAGTGTTCTTTTATCTGTCATAGTTTCGCAATTGCAGATTGGAATTCACGAAACAGGTATCGGCCATTTTTGCTTCGTATAACATAGTTCAGTAGCCAATCAGAATGCTGGATTTGTAATAGTCCATAGATTGGTTTACACTCGTGGACAATAGTTCCTTTCTCAGCTACAGAGAATCCTGACACCTTTTATTTCCTATCTAGGATCAACTTACTTTCTACGTTGTCCAACGTGTCTATCATTATTTGTTGCTTGTAGTCATCTGTTATTATAGTGAATAAGAAGTCGTATTAGAAAAAGCAGTCTTTACGGACGTATTATGTAAATATCACTACGTTTCCATAACGTAAACTTACTCAGTTGTTTTTGTTGTCCCTTCTGCGGATTGTTTTGTTGGAGTTGTTGCTTTTTTGTTACGGGTTTAGCTGAAAAAATAAGTGTGACAAATGTTTGATTCTTGGTTTCAATTTTTCTAAACGAAATACAAAACAGAAAGTAAACTTTAAACAGATGAAGCGCGCCGAGTTCTCAACATTAAGAAGACGAAAAACAAGAATACATGATTTTAAGGTTGAACAATGTGTTCAGCTTGTATAGGAATAAGAAGAACAAGGAAATCATATAAGGCGAAATTATTTTCTCTCGACTCACCTGAAGCTATGGACAGAACAGTCAAGACGACTAACAAGAGGACCAAATAAGACTTCATCTTTTTGATTTACTAATTAAGATAACGCAAGATGTTATGGCTGTTGAGTTAGATGATTTGACTAGGCCTTACAATACTAACATTTCATTTCTGTATGACTGAAAAACTATGTAAATTATTCAATTTACCAACAAAATGTCCTTTTAAAAACTTTGTAAATTGATTTTACAAGATATTTACAATGTTTGATCAAGCAAAATTTACAAGATATTTACAGAATGTACATAAAATTTACAAACTTTGTGAAAGGACATTTTGTCTATAAATTGAATTTACAGTATATTTATATATTATTTACAAACTCTGTGAAATATTCAACTTTTCCAGTCAATTGTGGGAAGCATCTCTTACCTGCTAGCTGATCATAGAATAAATTGATCTCCTACAGAAAAAGGTTGTTAAAAATTGTTGCAGAACTAACAGCTCCTCGATTTTTTAAACGCACGTTCCATTCATTAAACGTTTTGTCATACCACGAATGCAGCTTTCCTATTGGTTGAGGATGAGTGAGGTCATGACCTTAAATATTTGAACTATCTTCCAGATTTTTGAAGGTGTAAAAATATGTTAGTAATATTTACATGAAGGGTTTTGATTTGCTAGTCGGTACATATTTGTCGGTCCAAGTGCAAAGTGGGATTAAGATCTTTCTCATGCACAGAATACCAGCAAAATTATCACAAAAGTGTCCAGCGAAAGTTGGTGGTTGATGACATAACACAATATTAAACCCGAAACTGGTTGGTGGATCACTTGCTAGGGGATACGCCCACAAAAAGACAGGTGTTGATCCGAGAGGATCGAATAAGGTTTTGATAGCACTCTAGTGAATTCCAATCTATTGTTAATCTATTGCTTTGAAGAGAGCAAACTCAGGAAAAACATGAAATAAAATCAAACTAAATACTAACAAATAGAGGCTATTTAGAGACAATTTGTCAGTATCAATGAACCAGAACGCCATAAAGATTAATGAAAAATGTCTCTAAATAGTCGCTATTTCTTAGAGTGATCGCACCTTATCCGTGCAACTGTAAAAACTAAATAGTTCTATTTAGTTGTATTAAGTAGATCGTGCAAGCGGTACACAAATTAAATTGAATTGATGCAAATGAAGCATGCAATACAGTCAAAAATATCCATTTCATAATGCTTTATTTTGTTTTTATTTAGTGAATTACATCGTGGTTTATCTTTTTTTAAGTTCTATTGGTGATCTTGAAAATTTTCTGCAAGAAATATCAAATGAGATATATGAATTTACTGACAGGATCGCATGAAGAATTTTACAGGATGAACTGGTAATTTATTACCTCACGGAGAGCAGGACAATGAGAAAAGGGCAATAAAGCAAAGCACAGCACAAGATTTGGAAGCTACCTCGCTATTGATGAGCGATTGTAACATATCATTTTTACTTTTTAAGACGCCATAGTTTTTTGGCGGAGATGATTATGATATTGGTATTGACAAAATAATGGATGATGACATGTCATGAAAAAGTACACAGGACAAAGTTTATCTATATTTTTATCTATATTTTCGACCAACATATGCTTTAGAAACGCAAAAATACATACTTTCCAAGATTCCCAGTATCCTGTCGAGTTTTCCTATTAAAACAATAAATCAAATTTAACTAAATCAAAGTGTTAGCAATGAAATATCTGCCATTTAGGTTAACTGGATGGGCTGAAACACACTTCCCTACAGATCTTAAAATTTTCACATTAGAGCTAGAATGCTAGTCCAATTTCGAAATCATAGCGAAAAACCGCTGCTTTATTTGACACTAGATTCTCTTGCGCAAAGACCTGACCAAACAAAAGGGCGAGAGCATGAGAAAATGGCATTACAATAGCCTGAAAATTTGCATTTTCCCAGAGTTGAGACCAACCCTGTATTCCCATAAGACCTAAGGTATGAGCCTTCTGCTGGGAATACAGGGTTAGCCTCAACTCGGGGAAAATGTAAATTGTTAGCGCTATTGTAATAACAACATTTTCTCGTGCTTTCTTTTGTCTTTGGTATGTTCTTTGAGTAATAGAATCTGCTGTCAAGTAAAACAGCGGTTATTCGCTTTAAATTCGAAAATGCAGTACTGCCACATTATACTTACCATCGATGGTTTTCAACAGTTGAAAACCTTTGAGTAAAAAAACAGAAATCGGTTCAGTATTTGTAGACGTAATCCCAACACATGCGATATAGAACAAATTAACGTAACATGATAGTGATAATGACAATAACGATGGCAATGACAGTGACAATGATATACTTTATTAAAGAGCCAGTTTTCACCATTATGCTTTTGCGCGCCTCATGTTATTGTTATGATTTATACCAAAATACTTCTAGTATCCAAATATCACCATAAAACGAATTGAAAACTCTTATATTAGCGTTTAAAGTGCTTAGAAAAGTGAGATGGTCAAAAGTGAGATTTGAAACACACAGTACAATAGACTTCTGAACCTTTTACGTCACTACTTGATTTTCAATGCATTGTGGGATCTGTTTCAAGAGAAAACAAAAGAAATCCGCCCTGTTTTGTCCCAAACATGTTCTACAATGCATTGCGTATACGGTACATGACGTAAAAGCTGCAGAGGTCTATTTATAGACTTTGCGGCGGTAAATTGAAAATGGCCGCCTCCCGGCCCTCGCGGCCCTCAAAGCATAATGGTGCCTTTAACGTGTCAAAATATATAGCTCTTTCCCACCTATTTATAAGCACTAAACTAACTCGAGACTAACTTTTGCGAATCATTTTTGCGTAATCCGTAAGGATCCTGCAACAGCTACGGCTATTTCAAAAACGTTTAATACTGATAAAGGTTGATGTATTTCAAGAGCGCGCAATGCATTGTTGTGGATCGCATATCTGCGAAAATAGCTACACATTTCACAGACTTAGAGCTATTATTCAATTACACTTACTTCGTTTTTGGCCGCTTTGTACTTTTTGTGGCTGCTCGTTTAACGGGCTTGGCATGGCTTAAAAAGCAAAGAAAATAGTTATTCCGAGTAGAACATGTATAAGATCTTAGATTGATAAGAAACAGAAGAAGATGAAAGGCGAAAAAGTTGATTTAACAGTATATAGACGTGAATTCGAAAAGCAACAACAAGAACAAGCGATGAGAAAAAGAACAAGGACGAGGCACTAAAGACCAAGAAGAAAGGTAAGAATAACTAGCCACTGTGGACAAGAAGAAAACAAGCCAACGAGAAGAAAAAGAAGTCACTGAGGAGAACAATACTTGACAAGACAACTTTTCGACAAATGCCCGCAGAATGGCCGTTGATGAACTGAAGACGAATAACGTCGTCAAACACAAAATCTAGAGCATAAATAAGAGAAATAAACTAAGTTATCAAAGATCATAGC